TGTCTTTCACTCTGCTCACCATGTCTGTATTTATCTGGGAGATTATTTCTGTTTTGAATTTTTCTAGAGCCCCATGCATCTGCTTTGTTACTTCCTGTGCTCAGTTCAGGGTGTCCAAGTGGTTGCTTATCAGACTTTTCCACCTCATTTCCCCCAGAATTTCCTTTTTGTGGTGTGGAAGCCTGTGTCTGTGCCTTGCTTAAGTGTCTTCTCATTTTTGTTTTTGGTACTGTCCTTGGTTTAATTCCTGGGTTGATATTTCAAAATTGCTTAATGTAGGTATCTTTGTTGCTTGTGTTTAAAACCCTTGTGGAATGACTGCTTTACAGAGGTGTCTTCCAGATGTAGCTTGTGTTTGGGTTTTGAGACTCTAATGACTCTGAGGCTATTTTATTTTCCTTATACCAGGAAGGAAAACTAATTAGATCAATCACATGTTAGCCCAAATGACATAGTCAGCAATACCACAGCATCAAGCACAGCTTAGAAAATGACAATTTGTGGTAGTTATTAATCTATCACATTTAACTATGTGAATTCAATTAAAACCGAGGACAAACTCAACATAAGTTTATAATGAATAAACTCTTCAATATAGCATCTTTCCCCTTCAGGGTGGGGAGTTAAAAGGAGCTGGGGAGGGAGGGACAGGTAGAAAGATCAGGAAAGATTAATGGTGAGGCCAGAAGACACAGGAAGATCACACAAACTCTAAGAAGTTGTTAAAGGCAAGAGGAAAAGGCAGAATGAAAGAACAAAGATGTGAACAGAATCACCTAACAGCAACAGGGAGGCTAGATACCAAATTTACTTTCCTTTAAACCTAATGATAATCAAGAGAAGGAAAAAGAGAAGAAAAGAACAATAAGGGAGAAAACCGAATTCAGTGCAGAAAGGAACAAATGGGGAGATGAGGAGCAATGTGGGACAGCAAGAGAACGAGTGAGAGAGACAAAGAAAAGATAAAAGAAAGAAAAGTAAAAATTTGAAGAGTAGAAAAAAGTAAAAATTAAGAATTATAAATAAAAGGAAAAAAAATTTTTTCTTATTTACAAATAGCAAAAAACAAAAATTATGAGCCTCCTTCAGGGTATGTCTCTGCTGTCACAGTAGGCAACATAGGAATCCCTGTGCATATACAAGTCAATGAGTCTCAGCAAGCCAGCAGCAGACCAAGTACAGTGGTCTGATGTGTCTTTATTGTAGAGATTCTCTTTACTTTTCCACTGAGCTTCAGTTTTCATCCAGGAGCCTGAGAAGCCCTCTTTCTGTTACTAACTTCTGCTCTATCTTGTGGCGCTCAGGACAAGGGTCTTTATAATCCCCTGTGCCTCTGTAGTGTGGGACCAGGTAGCAGAAAAGCCAGAAGGCCAGAGGCGTGCGGGGGGACGACACAGGATGGACTGGGCCTTGGAGGTGCCACCGCGGCTAAGCGGACCTCACCGTGGCATGGGTGGGGCCCAGGACGGCCGAGGAGCTTCAAGCTGCTTGTCCTACCTGGCTGGTTGGCTAGGAGAGTGTTGGATCTGTATGATCTGATTATATGAGCTACCCAGAAGAGTCAAATACATAAGAGACACAGCAGATACAAATTGAGAACTGTGAGACAGGGAGCAGGTACAGGGAGTGACTGCTAACATGACCAAGGTTTGTCAAATAATGAAAATGTTCCAACATTATAAGGAAGTGGTGAGATAACTACTTTCACAAGGCACAATACGGTAAACATGAATATAATAAAATTTCCCTCCCTTGTATACCAGGTTTTGTTTATTTTTGGTGCGAGTGAGGATTGAACCCAGGACTCTGCTGTAGCAGAGTAAGAGCTCTAGCTCTGTAAGCAAGAGCTCTAGCACTAAGCTACATCCCCAGCCATTTTTATTTATTTGGCAAAAGGATCTTGCTAAATTGCCCAAACCGGCCTTAAAGTCAAAATCTCCTGAGTTAGCCTTTAGGATTATAAGTGTGCACTACCATACGCTGCTCAACTGTACACCTGAAAGTGGTGATTTTATGGTATGGGACTTAGAACTCAATTTCTTAAAATGAAGGCAACTTCTAACAATACTGGAATAACATCAGATTTACATACCCCCCCATCTTAAACAACTAAAAAATTGAACAAAATATATGAAATAACTTTCAGACAACAGGAATAACTGAACCCTAATGGATAACAAAACTCAGGGCTGGGATTCCTGGAAGAAAGAAGAAAAAGATTAACAACTGTCTCAGGTTGCACTGGGAGACAATTTTCTGTTTGTAGCAAAGGGAAGGGGAAGGCAAAAGAGCATGACAGTTTCATAGGAAAACAGACTTCAGGAAAGCCCAAAAAGCTGGAGTCTATGGGCAAATTGGTGAGTAAAACACTGTGGAAAAAAGGGAGGTTACACAGATAGAAAGTAGGATGGCTTCAAATTCCTGAGTGACTACTAATCTGTGCATATGTGAGAGAGAACAGAAGAAAAGCCTAGTGAAAACATCACAGTCCTCCCTCATATACCCACCAGCCACAGGAGAAAGACCTAGTAAGAGAGGCTCAAATACCCTGAGGCTAAAGGCTGTGCTACACCTCTCCTTACAAAGATCTAAAACCACACCTTCAAAAAATTAAGCTGGTTCCCAGTAACTACTTATATGTGAAAAAAGAGAATAAAGTTCTGAGCCCGCTCTGGAAGGCTGAGGCAAGAGGATCGCAAATTCAAGCCCAGCCTGGGTAATGTAGAGACTTTGTCTCAAAATAAAAAACTGAGAGAGCTGTGGATGGAGCTCATTGCAATGGCCGGGGTTCAATCCTCCACATTTCAAAAAAATAAAAATAAGGTATAACACTACTTTAAACAATCCAGGACCCCTAAACATACAATACACATTTTCAAAATCCAACCAAAAAATTACTAAGTACACAAAGAATCAAAACATAAACACAGAAAAAAGAAAGCTCAACAAACAAAAACAAACCCAAAAAGAAATGCTGACATACCTATATAAATACACTCTACATGTCCAAAAAGATAAATGAAAATACAAATTTCATAATTTAAAGATGTTTATAAAAGACAAAAATAATAAACTACTACAAAAAATACTGGAAAACTACTGTACTATGTAAAATTTGAAAACACATAAACTAGAGCCTTTAAAACAGAGATCAATAAATTTACAATCATTTTCAGGTAGATTACAGATCTAAACATATGAAACAATATAGCTCTTGGAAGATGATATAAAATATCTCCACGATTTCCAGGTAGGGTTAAGTTCTCTCAAGGCACAAAAACAATAACAAAGAAAAACTGGGTAAATTTAACGTCTATCCACCAAGACATGAGAGTGAGAGATTAAAATAAAATTTAAAGAAAACCCTGAGACAAAGCCAAAGGGATGTTTGAAATTCATGTTATACAGGAATTAATATTAAGTATCCAATCTCCTTGGTGAGTTCATTCCTAAAAGAACAAAAACATACTCGCACAAGTTAATACGTGTAACAGCACTGCTGACATGAATACAAACCAACAAGAACTCTCACACTCTCTTGGTATTTGTGGCTTAACCCTTTGACAAAATAATTAGGCATTATCTAAATAAACTTTAGGAGAAACCCTTTAACCCACAAATCCCAACTCTAGGATAAACCTTATAAAAAGCGTATTTACATGAGCCACCACATTTGTACAAAACTATTCAGAGCAGTATCACAACGGTCCCAAAATTGAAGCAACTGAAAAAGGGCTACCAGTAGAATGTTGAAATAATGGCATACTCTGCAATAAGAAAAATGAGCCAACTAAACAACGAGAAACATGGACAAATTTTTAAAAGCATACTATTTTCAAAAGCTAAGGTATAATTTTAACTTATAAAAACTGATGTGAGGGGCCGGAGATTTAGCTCAGTGGTGCCACCGCCTGCCTTGCAAGCGCAAGAACCCGAGTTTGATCTTCGGTACCAAAAAAAAAAAAAACTGATGTGAGACCTTGAAGAACTTTAGCAGGATGATAAAATAGGACTTTCTAGCACTCCAGCATGGAGAGACAGCAATTTGAAAAACTATCCATGTACAGAAACACCTTTACACAAGCAAAGGAAACCAAGTAAGACATTATAGCACCTAAATATAGCACAGAAAGAAGACACATTACCCAACCCCAGGCAGTTAGAGAAAGATATGCTTTGGACGGGGAAAAGACAAAGAAGCAAGACTGCACTTTGTTTCTGACCCTAGCACCAGGCTTGCCGCAATAAAACACAACCTTACCAGGATGACGTGCGCTTTATCCCTGGGATGCATGGATGGTTTGACATACACAAATTAAAATGATGCACCATTTCTATACACTAACGATAAAAAAAAAAAAAAAAAAAAAAACCAAGAAAATAATCCCATTTATAATACCTAGAAAAAAAAGACTTAGCAATAAATTTAAACAAGTAAGCCAAAGATTTGTACATTGAAAGCTATAAAAGACTACTAAAAGGGGCCAGGGACTTAGCTCAGTGTTTCCACCGCCTGCCTCACAAGCACAAGGACCCAACTTCGATCCCTGGTACCAAAAAAAAAAAAAGACTGCTAAAAGAAATTAGGACACAAAACAGTAAGTAACTGATTATACACAGCAATAATGACAATTGAAATAGTTCATGTAGTTTGGACATATAGTTTTTTAACTGGATACCTTGATATCTTATTTTAAGGCTTTTTATTATTTCCTCCCTTTCTTCTAATGTTCTGTTCCCATCCCCTTGTTTCTTCTGGACTCATACTTTTTTTTTTTTTCAGTACCAGGGACCAAACTCAGGACCTTGCACTTTCAAGGCAGGCGCAGTGCCACTAAGCTAAATCCCAGGCCCTGGACTCATACTCTTGACATCTGCCTACTTATAAAAATAGCATGAGGGCAAGCTCAAGGATCGGAGTTTGATTCCTGGTACCAAAAAAAAAAAACAAAAAAACCAGATGAATAATAAAGTAAAAAGAAATAAAAGGGAGAACCTACCTGAAGTCTTGCTAGTTGTGCAGTACGGGCTACTATTTTATTGTATGGCTCAATAATTTTTGCTTTCATCCTAAGAAAATACAAAAAGTAGTAAGAATAAAGCAATTTTCAAAATGTCAATGGATAGAAATATCTCCATTTCATACATTAATAAAAAGAGCTACAGTACCTATCAACAGCTCCCTGTAAAGCCCCAA